GGGATCAGCCGGAGGCTGCCTGCCTTGCTCAACCATCTCTCGACATTCCTTCAAGAAATTGACCGTAGCCACATCCTTGTACTCCTCGATGGGCCAATCATGCGGAATGTTCTTCATGCCAATCTCTTGACCCTGGTACACGTATAAAGATCCGCTCAAGCTCGTTTGGAAGAGACTAATCATTCTCGCTGCCGTCTTGCGATGTTCGGCACTGTCAGAAGCCCATCGACTGACCGTGCGTGCTTGATCGTGATTCTCAAAGTAGTTGGCCAACCATGCGCTCGTTCGGTGACAGTACGTCTGCCACTTGTTCACGATGCCGGCGAAATGCGGCAAGTGGATCTTCTTTGGGATCAAGGGCCACTGCTGATCTCCGTCTTGATCGTGCAGGTCAAAGGTGAAGCAAGACCGCAGCTCGTGGCGCGCTGCCGGTACAAAGAGGGCAGGGGAGGGAGGGCAGCAGAACATCAACCACAAGTCAGGCATCAACTAAGCAATTGATGGCTCACCAGGATGCGTCCAAGGCAAGAGGATATCGGGATGCTTTGCGTGCGGCGTCTCGCCCACCGTGATGGTGTCGTACTTGCTGAGCACCTTTTCACCCAGCTCCTGTATGAATTCATGTACGCGCGGCCCGTCGCAGAATAGCGATACAGCGGGTTGATACTTTGAATGAGGCTCGGTGATGGGCGCATCGGGCAGAGATCCATCGGCATTGTACGTCTTGCTGATCTCGTTGATCACATCCATGCGGAAACCCGCTACGCCCTTGTCGAGCCAAAATTTGGCGACATCGTGCACAGCTTCCCTCACTGCAGGATTCTCCCAGTTCAAGTCTGGTTGCCATGGACTAAAGATGCACAGGTACCACTCGTCTGACGCTTCGTCATACGTCCATGCTGGACCGGTGAAGAAGGCCACCCAATTGTTGGGGGGCAATTTTTCCCCATTCGCTCCCACCTTGCCCTTGCGCCAGATGTACCTGCACCAGAGCGAGCGAGAAGCGCGCGCGGCGAGTGAGGAACGTGTAATTGTCACTGCCGTAATGCTCCCGCAGCTCACTCACCAGTCCCTCTTTGAAGAATCTTTTCCCTTGAGTGATTCTTTGAACCAAGCGTGCTCCGAGCTCGTGTGATTGACAATCTGACAAAAGTTCGAGTTGGGTGGGGGGTGGGGGGCGAGGGGGAACGCGAGTAAGGTTGTGATGCATGCGCTTGCCGACATGCAACGAACGCACCAAATCCATCATGAGTTTCATACCGCGCTTCTTCAACTCGGCAATAAGCTGTTCCAGCTGCTGGTTGGATCCATACCTATCGGCAATCTTTTTGTAATCCGCCACATCATATCCGTAGTCCTTGTCCGGACTCTCGTAGCAAGGACTCAACCAAACCACATCCGCACCCAAATCTTTCAGATAATCCAGCTTGCTGATCACTCCTCCCAAATCTCCCACTCCATCTTGCGCATTCCCATTCAGGAAAGAAGCGGGCCAGATTTGATACACTACCGCTTCCTTCCACCACGCCGGCTTGGAGTAGCTCGACTGCAAGTTGGCCAGATCCGCGTTGCTGAGCGGATAACGAAGCTTAGACATGGTCCTGTTCTCTCTTTCTCTCTCTCTCGAATGTGTTGTGGACGATGAGAGTCAAGAACCATCGAGCATGAATCGCATCGCATCGCATCGCCACCCTCGCATCGCCACCCTCTACCTAGCTGCCACATCTCACCCCCTCAACATGTAATAGGCAAGGGCTCGCTCGTCGCTCGTAATGCACGCATCGTGTACGTGGGCCCGTGCAAAGCTTGCACGCGCAAGCATCAGCAAAGCCCATGACAGCATGCATGCATGCAGATGAGCGAGACGCGCTTCGGCGAATCTGTCGGACAAGGCGGCGGACGGTTCAGCCGCGTCACGTGAGGGTGAGTTGGTGTGGGATCGAGCGAGGCAGGGACCATCGATCCAGATCATGCACAGGCAAAACATGACCCCTCCGCAGTGGCTGGCAAGAGTCTTGAGTCATCAGCAGAAGAGCAAGCCAGGCCATTCAGCGAGACAGCTCTGCTGCCATCCACAATTTGATTTTGAAGGTGAACGATGAATTGTTGCCAGCACAGCGGAGAGGCACAGATGACCTCGAGTCCTCTGTGCGAGAGGCTCGACAGTCGCGCGTCGTGAGTAGCAAGGAAGCTGTCATGTGTGCATAGCAAGCAAGCAAGCTGGCTGTTGCCATCCAGACGATTTACTGTTGCGCAGTGCGGCACCTCTCCGATCTCTCCGAATCGCTTGCCCGGCTCTGCTTCAGGATTTTGGGAACTATGCTCAGACCAAAGGCCGCACGTACGCAAGCGCAGGAGCGATCGAGGCATGCAAGAACGCAGACCTGCGCGGCCCTAGCGTGTGCAAGCGCTGTCACGCACGCATACTACTACTACTACTACTAATCAAGAATGCGTGCATACTATTCTACGCTGACAAGGCAGGACAAAGAAGTCCAATCAATGAAGCTGGGCGGCTCTCCTCGTCGTGTCTCGAATGTGAAGGGTCAGGGGCTTGGGCAGAGCTTGGGTTTGGACGAGATATACGAGGCGGACACGAATCTCAATCACATATGTTGAATCGTGAATCACGTGAGTGTGTCCGACCGAATCAAACAAAGTCAAAAGTGACGGTTTCCGACCGAATTAACAAAGTGAGGATTTCAAATGATCAAATCAATGAAATAGGCATGCTGGTGAACACTCATCGTGACACCCCGCGGGCGCTGATATGCTTGCAGAATCGTGAATGGTGAATTCACAATTAGGATTACCAGCAAGTGAGCCAAATGAGGACATGCAGCAGCAGCGAGTCGTGAGTTTGAGTAGAGAAGTCACACGGGGGTACTAGACTACTAGTAGTACTACGGTACGGTATACACCCTGCACCAGCTCATCCGCCGACACCACGCAGCGAGATGAGATGCTGTGGCCTCGCGCATTTAACAACTGGAAACCAAAAGAGTCATCGATGATGAGGCTTTGGCGGGATTCTGGTCCAATTGGGATTCAAATAACAGCAACTTGACTGCCAAATCGGGACATGAACTCGCGCGCTATACGCATGCATGCTGCTGTTGCCTGGATCGCCCTGTACTGTACTGGTAGTCACGAGTCGTGAGTCGTGAGTCGTGAGTGCATATGCCAGGAGCACAATCTGGACCTGCGTACCCGTACAGCATACGGCCACAAGTCGCGAGTCGCGAGTGTAGAGTACGGTAGGCACAGTATAGGGCTCTCGCGACGCAAGCCAGGCCGATCAGTCATTCAATTGAATGCAATCACAAATTGTTATGTGACATTCACATTCACGATTGAGCATCGGACTGCTAGCGATCTATCTCACTTCACTTTGCTCACGACTCACAAACAAAGCTCACATTCAATTTCTTCATTGCAGCACTTTCACTCACCACTTTTAGACTATCAACACCCACTCTCGACTTCTCCTGCCTCTGGACATCATTGTAGCGCACCTTTTAACAACAACAGTACGCAAGCGCCGCGTGCCCACCCGGACCCATCACGTCGCCAAACGCGGTCGGCGCGTCACTGCCGTACCGTACCGTATTGTACCTTGCTCCCCATCCAAATTACAGGTCCGACAGAGCAGTTGGTAGACGTCGTCGTCGCTTGACTTTAGCTCGCATTCCTGCCTCGATCCGGTCGACGTGCTTGCTTGCGTCTTGCGTCTTGCGTCTTGCGTCTTGCGTCTTTTTGCGATGCGCTTCGCGCCTCTTTCGTGACCCTCACCGCGCACTGCACGTGTCGACCATTTCAAGAGACCCGCCATTCTACTCAACAGACTCATCCAAAGGGCTGCTCGCACGCACGCCCGCCCGCACGCACGCACTTTTGGTCTTTGCGAATGACCTCGCACATGACCAATCATGTCTGTTCCGCACTTGCCGCCACAAGATAATGGCACCGATGTTCGACACCTCGCCTCCACGTCGGCAGCTGCTGTGACCACGCCTACAGCTGCGACTTTTGCAGCGCGTGGGGCAATGGCCAGCAGCAACGCCATTGCTCAATCCTCAGCGGGCGCCTCTTCAGCTCTGGCGGAGTCGCGCAGGCAAAGTGAGGGCCGGCCTCATGTACCTCGTCTCGAGACAGACGCGGCCGCTCTAGGCTTCGCATCGCCCTCCCGTCCTTTTGCCGATTCCAAGCAGAGCGGCTTTGCGGAAGATGCGCCACTTGTGCTCGCCTCGGAATCAACATCCAAGCAATCGACGTCTTCAAAGACTGGGGCATTCTTTGGATCCAATGGAGGCGCATCCTCTACGCCGATTTTGCCAGCCAGCGCCAGCGGCTCCAGCAGCTTTGCGGGTTGGAGCTCACACAGGAGAGAGACGTCCGCAACCTCCTCGGTCTCCTCGGCAGTGGGCAATCAAAGCTTGGTGGGAGATACGAGTGCAAGGTTGGGGCACAGCAGCAGTACCTTTTCGATAGGTTCCTTGGACAGCGTAGGAGGCATCTCGACGAGCGGACCGGAAGGCGCTACTGGCATCGTACGACAAGGATCCTCAGGCAGAGCGGCATCCGGTCGATGGGCTGGAGGTTTCGGCAGCAGTTTGCAGACGCCCAGCACGGGAGATTTGAGCTCCGCTTCGTCTACCCGTTCTAGGAGGGTGTGGGAAGAGTTTGAGGGCAAGCCCATCACCCCCCTACCCTCTCCCGGTGTCGTGGCAGCATCCAATCAGGCCGCTGGACTGGGCTACTTCGAGTCGCGCTCGGCTGGTCTTGGAGCAAACGATCAAGCCAGCACGTCGCGGAGCTCCCTCGAAAGACAGGGGCGTCCCTCCCACGACTTTATGAGTCGCACCCACTCGCAGGAACAGGAAGAGCATGCGGAACCCGAGACGCCCGTATCTCGCAACAGGGCCTTTTTCGGCAGCAGCGCTCCATCTCCTTTGGGACAAATCTCATCACCCGTCTCCGCTTCCTCATTCTTCTTCTCGAGCGCAGCACCCAAAGCGACACCTGCTCCCGCTCCTTCGCGTGGCGCAACAGCTCCGCGCGCAGCTAGCGGAGGCGGTAGTTGGCTCGCCCGTGGCGCTATCGGTGCAGGGACAGATGAAGTCGCTCGACCCGAGTTCGCCTTATCTCCACCCGCGACGCTGGCTAGCGCACCCAATGCCAATCTGCGCGGGCCATCTCGATTGCCAACCATGCCGGTTGCGGGCATGCCCATTTCCGGGACGTCTTCTGTCGCTTCCACCCCACCTGCCTCTTTAGCTCAGGCGCCGATGGAGAGCTTGGCAAGTGCGATGACGGGACATGCAATACCGCCCTGGATCAAGCAGAGTCCACCTCCGAGCACGACCACGCGGGCATTTGTGCAAAATCCGCAGCTTGCGTTGGCCGAGCGAATGAGCTCCCTACCCTCTGCTGCTCTTGGCGCGGGAGACGCGAATCGAACCGGAGATGCTCCACATCCACAAGCACCGTCGCAAGGTCATGGGCCAATCCTCACGCCCGAAACTCAATTTGCCCGCATTGGCGTTTCTGATCCTCCAGTGCTGGAGCCTGCGCCTGCTCGATCTCGCAATGGCTCTTCGCAAAGCGCGGCTGAAGTTGCAGGTGATAGGGCGGACTCGCTGCTGCTTCCTGCAGCTCAGAGGAGGGGCGGAGCGAGCAGGCACGTCCATGGACCTTCAGAAAACGCTAGCGGATCCTCCTTCTTGCCCGTCGCCGCCTCTTCCTCCGGCGCTGCTGGCCCTCGCGTGGAGCTCGGTAGCGGAGCTGCGATAGATGGCGCGAGGAGACAGTCGGCAGCGACCATCACGGGCATGGGCACCGGCACCGGCACGGATGCGGATGCGGATGTGGAGGAGGAGGAAGATGCGAATGAAGGCAGGGTAGGACAGTACGTGATTGAGCGAACATTGGGAATGGGCGCTTTCAGCCGCGTGGTTCTCGCCAGGCGAATAGCTCGCGATGCGATACCCAATTCGGATACCAATCGCTCCCGCATGCATAGCCCCACAACGGCTTCGAAGGAGAATGCAGCGGCGGAAGCATTTGGGAATGCGAACGGAAAGAGTGCGGCACAGCCGGGGCAGCAGCTCGTGGCTTTGAAAATGCTCGAGAGGGAACCTTGCGCGCAGAACGAACGGATGCGCGTCAGCTGGGTCAGAGAAGTGGAGGTTTTGAAAGTGAGTCGCGAGGGGTGAGATCAGGTTGGGAGGGTGGAAAGGCCTCTTTTTTGTTTTTCTAAAGCCCCGCTGATCTTCCCTTGCTGCCCTCACCCTCGCACCAAAAGCACATTTCGCACCCTAGCATTGTACGATTCATCGCCTCTTTTTCCACACCGCGGCACCACAATCTGGTCTTGGAACATGTGGACGGAGGCGAGCTGTTTGAGTTTCTTGCAAAGTACCATCCCATGCTGGCTGCGAGGGAATGGCTGGTCAGGCGGGTATTTGGAGAGGTTGCGCACGCTGTGGGTTGGATGCACTCTATCCATCTCGTGCATCGAGACATTAAGCTCGAGAGTGAGTGTGCAGCGGCATTTTTCGACGTTGATGTTACTGCTCACAAGCGGCCCTTCTCTCGACTTGCTTTATAGACATCATCCTCACCAAGGACATCTTTGCGGCTGTAGCTGGACAAAACGTCGCGCCGGCCGATGTTGCACCTGTGCCGCTACTCAAGATTTCCGACTTTGGCCTCTCGCGCTTTGTGGATCCGGCTTCGCCGATGTTGGAAACGCGATGCGGGTCGGAAGAGTACGCAGCGCCGGAGCTGATCATCGGCAAGCGGTACGATGGTCGAGCGACGGATGTGTGGGCGTTGGGCGTGGTGCTGTATGCGCTGATTTGCGGATTCTTGCCATTTTTGGAGGATTCAGCTGGAGGAGGAGTGGCTGCTGCTGCTGCGAGGGAAGGGGGTCAGGAGCGAAGTGCGAGGGAGCGCAAAGCTCATCTGTTGCGCATCGCCAAGGGGGATTTGAGGTGGCCTGCATTGACCAATGAGGCCTGCTTGGACATGCCTCGCGCTCCTACGCCGCCAAGCAATAGGCTCGTCACGCCCGCAGCTAGACACATCACTGCTCGGCTGCTGAGAAGAGATGCCAACAAGAGGGCGGCGGCTTGGGACGTCTTTGAGGATGCTTGGATGCTTCACGGCAGCTTTCCTCCAGAGCAGCCGGAATCGTCTGCGTTGGGTCAGAAGACCAACACTCTGACGGCAATCTGCTTGCACAATCCTAGGAGCGGCCAGGGTCAACGTTGGCTTCAAGAGCACGCGCGCGTCATCGGTGCGGTCGCGGACGTTGCGCGTGACGATTGACCAAGGCAGCCTTTTTCTTGACCGACTTGATAGGGCGGGCCTTCGAGACCGTCCCGTTTTTTTTTTTTTTTGTTTGCTGAAAGTCTGTACCGCCCCTGCATTTCTCCTTGGCCTACCTCGAGCGCAAACATCTGATTGCAATGTAACAATATGCAAAGCGGCTCGTCTCCCCATGCTTTTTGTCATCTGCCACCTTTTCCTCGGACCAGTCTAGACTGCTTTCGAAAGTCTCGAGTGGTTCCGCGGAACCATGTCCGCGATGTCCTGCTCCACCGAGTCCGAGTCCGAGTCGAGTCGAATTCGGATTGCGTCCTAGGCTACGCTAAAGCCTCTCTCGCTCCAGAATGCTATTCTCGATTACTTTTACGAGTCACATGACTTTGAATCTTGAAGTGCATTTTGATCCAAGCTTGAATTGGGTCCTTGATTTCCAAATGGGGCTCCTCATGCTCGACTTGTTTATTTCGAATCACATGAATGCAATTCACCATTTGATTCTCGTCGCACTCTACGTAAAAACTTCGATCTCGAGCCCTGACCGGCGCGAATCATCAAATGAATTCGGATAGGGGCTCGCAGCTCGCATTCGCGCGCGGCCTTCATTCCGTCGCTCCGCGCTTGCCTTTGCCGTTGTTTGAAATTCACGATTAGAATCTGCTGGAAATCACCATCAGCATGAACCATACTACTGCACAGGGGCCCTCGCTTGCCTGCCTGCCTGCATGTATGCATGCACATCAGCTCAGATGCATCCTCCTCGTGGCGCATTCACACTCTTGACTATGCTTAGCGTCGTTGCCGTCGCGCGTCTGTGGCTGCGATGGATCGATGCCTCGCTAGCTAGCTTTGATCGAGAGATGATCCATCAGACGCGAAAGAAGGTGTACCGGTAGCTGGTCAAAATTCAAAAGTGTGCAGCTTTCGCCGGCTACGCGCGCATGCACAACAGCTACAGTACGGTATACAGATATACGGTACAGTAGGCCGTCGATCATTTGTGATTGTATTCACGACTGAATTTGCATTTAGGCGGCGAGTCGCTATATGCAGTCACTAGAGGGCCCTATTTGATTTACATACAGTTAGCTGGCTGCGCGTGTTCATTGATGATTCACCATTGGGTTCGACCTGACCTGATCTGTGACCGCAATGTCGTGTCGCATCACCACAATCTTGAGGTCTGAGGTCGTGCAACCCCCCTCACGCCGAAGAAGCCCACTCACGCCGAGAAACCAGTCGCCTAGCTGTCGAACGCCGATTCTCCCTGCCAGTCCCGAAAGCCCTTAATGATGGGCTTCTGAGGGTCACACTGTGCCCGACTTTGGCAAAAGCAGCGCTGCGAGCCGGTCCCACCACCCCTTGGAGCAAAAGTGTGCCGATCTTCACCAGGATCGCATCGATTCGCTGGTCTCGCTGACGATCCAGGACAGCTCGGCAGCATGGCGTCAACTTCCACGCCTTCTTCATCGCGAATTCCGGTCGATCTCACGCAGAATCAGCCTCATCGACGCCCTCATCACTTTAGACGCATCTACCTCGGCCCCACGCCCGTTTCGAGCAACGCTGCAGCCTCGCTAGCAGCGGCCATTGCCGAGGATGCGACAGTAGACGAGCCGTTGGGCTTGGGAGTGGCAAAGTCTGAGCCCGCCGCTGGTGGCACAGCGAACCAGGACATCGTCGAGCCGCTACTACCACCGCATTTAGATCTCCCTCCAACATCTCCGCCGCACTCGCACAGTCGCAAAGCGATCCACGATGTGTCGGGCTTTGTGCGCAATCGCGATGATCCATTCAGCAGCGAGGTGGAAGCGAGCCATCTGGCTCGCGACCGTGTGCGGGAACTAGCTGGCGATCGAGAGGAGGAGCTAGGCCAGCATCCAAGCTCCGGACCCTCCACCCTTCGACCTCCTCGTTCTCGCGAACGAGAAGCGTCTAGCGAGCGGAGTGTCTCGCAACGCCGCGCAAGTCCTCACGACCTGTCGCCGTTGACCGTGTCGCACCCTGGCATCGCTCATTCGACATCCCAGGCTGCCCGTAATCGCCAGCAGCTGGCTCGAGAGGCATCTGCGGTCAGCTTTGCCAGCGCCAAGTCCCTTCCAGATAGCGTATTGTCCGAGGGCGACGCATTGGCTAGAGCAAGAAAGGGCAAGGGCAAGCTCGACGAGTCCCAAGATGCTCTTCATTTCGAGGATATCAACGGCTGGAGCAAGAATGCGGAGGGTGGCGCCTCATGGGGCAGGTCGGCTCGAGATCGAAAAAGAATAGGCTCTGTGGAGGGCGAATTGGATGACCATGTCGCGCAGCAAGCCAAGCGCCGCCTTTCCTTTGACCTTCCGGAAGGCATCGTGCTAGCTAGAAGGGGACGCTCTGAAAGCGCGGCAGCCGGAAGTCATCTTCGCGAAGCGAGCGAGCCCCCCCTCGCTCTGCTGGACGTCTCCCTGGCAGAGGCAGACGAGACCATCGATCACCACAGCGAGACTGGCACTCTGAAAGCTCCGAGCGTTCGCAATGGAAGCTTATCGCAGGAAGCCACGCCAAGAGCGGAAAGTGCTGCAAGGCTTGGCCTACTGCATCAACTACATGCCATCGACCATGCGACGCCCCTCTCTAAGCGGACGACTGGCTCATTGCAAGACTTGGCGTTGGGTCGAAAGGCTTCAGATCGCTCCCTGTCCACATTCAAAGGCTCCGCGCCGCGCAGACGCAGGAGCAAGAACTCTCTGCGGCACATTGCATCAGCATCTGGCAGCCTCACGCGTTACGAGGCACGTAGGCTGTCCAAAGCGAGCGTAGGCAGCCAACACGACGCGGATGCGAGTGTGCACGACCCAACGTCTCCGTCGTCATTCCGCCCTAATGAAGAGATTGAAGACGCATCGCCTTTCGAGCGACGACTCCCGAAGCAAAGAGACGGCTCTCGAGCCAGAGCTCACATCGCTGCCGAGGCTACTTATCCGCCACGAAGACGAAGCGCCTCGTATGCCAGAGGGCATCCGAGAGAATTTTCGCGAGCTAGCAAGATGAGTCGCGCAAGTACTGTCGGAACGCTGGGCAGCTTTGGCTCGCACGGTACGCGATTCACGGAAGGCTCATTCGGAGCTACTGGAGGGTTCCGAGCAAAGCTTGTGGCTTTTTTTGGCAGTAGGAGCAGCGCAGCGAGCGCGCGAGAAAGTGCAGCACGAAGGAGATCCGCTTCCTTTGCTGCATTGGCTCGCGGTAAACCTGGGCAGGTCGGTACGAGCGCAGGAGGCACTAAATGGGTGGGAGGCAGCTTCGAAGTCGGTCGTCGATTTCAAGAGGTCCTGAATGCTCGCCATGCCGTTTTGGGCGCATCCTTGTTGGACCATGCATCAGGTGACTCTGCCAGCGTCAAGGACTCGTCGCGCAAGGAGCAGCGGCCGGAGCGAGATGGCGCGACGCGCGATCCCCAGTTAAAGCACACTACGGACAACATCTCTCGCAGCCCTTCGGATGTCCTTTCAACTTTTGCGCATCAAGCGCAAGATTCGGCAGGCGACAAACAGGTCAATGGAGTTGGGCAGACTGATGGCAAGCTCGCGGATGATACATTTCGGAAAGCAGAGCTCACCGTCACGGAAGCGAGCCCTGCCCAGGATGAATCCACTGAGAGTACAACGAGGCCAATGCCTAGCGGAAAGGAGACCATCAACGAGAAGCTACGGAATGCATCTGACACGCCAAATACAACGCCGACCAAGAGGAGGCCAATGGATTCGAGCAACTCAGCCGTGTCATTACTGAGTGTTCCGCACACCAAAGGTGCTGACCACGAATCGCAATTCACCATCGAAAGCAGGCATGGCTGGAGCGATGTCGTCAGCTTCATGAGCGCAAATTCCAGCTTGGGCAGCGACAATCGTGTCGCTTCGCCTGCATTTGGAAGCATGGCAGAGCGCAGTCGGCGAGCTCTCGAGAATGGTCTTGGCAGCATTGAGGCGTTTCGTGCGCGCCAGGCTGAAAGGAGAGCTGCGAGAAAGGACCTTGGTCCGGCTTTGTCCAGAGACGCGATACGAGAAGCGAGCACCTCCTCGGGCACAGACGTCAGCTTGTCTCAGGCCGCCCTTGGCAAGCCGGCATCGCAAATGAAGGGGTCCAGTGCTCAAGAAGACCCCGTGGTGGATCACGTGCAGAATGAGGAGCAGATGGAGGCGATCGCCACGCCCTCAGCAGCCCCAGCCGAGGCGCAGCAGCATCCACAGCCACCCATCAAAGCTGACGAGCTGTTTCCCGAAGCGACGCACAATCTTTTGAGAAGACAAAGCTTTCAAGGTGTACGTGCAGACGGCGTCAAGCCCGAGACAGCTAGCGATCATGAGGTCGTCATACAGGGCACGCCCACATCCGCAGGCGATCGTGCGCCCGAGGTCATCGAATGTAGAGCGCTCAGCACGGCTGGTAGCACGTTGTTGGGAAGTGAAACTGCAGTCGCTGATAATCGCGATCCGCGCCTCCGCACCGTGAGCACGCTCAGTGGGGACACGAAAGCGTACGCAGGCTCGCACGACAGTCGTACTCATACACCAAAGAAGGCAAAGGGGCCCCAGGATCTGGGTGTCGTTTGCGCAGGGCAGATGTACGAACCGGCATTGAATTCGACCGTGGATGTGCACCCGTCGCCGCGGAAGACGGTACAATTTGAAGGCGGCGCGAGACCGAACGTGACAGGACGCAGCCTCAGCACCTCGCTCTTCACTCGAAACGGTCCGAATGCCGAGGTCAAGCTCACACCCTCTGCGAACGGGAAGATTGCGCGTCCACCATCCGGCGCTACTGAGCCTGTCCCTCCCGAAGAGGTCCTCTCGAGACCAGGCTCTTTTGAAAATCGCAGGTCGACACCTGTGCATAGCGGAAGCACGACTCCGACCGAAGCAATGACAACACCACGGTCCGAATTGAAGCGCGACAGGATGTTGGTAAAGATCGGGTGGACGCCCTCTGCGGATTTGCCGGCAGATCTTGACGAGAATTCTGCGAGAAAGTATGCTGTCTATAGCGATCCGTGGCGAGAGTACATGGTTGTACTGCGTCATGCCAGACTTGAAATTTGGGACGACCCTGTGAGTGTTGGTGTGTGGACATTGAGATGTGATCAGCGCTGATCATGCTTCCGTGCTGCTCAGACTTTTATGTCGAAAGCGACTGGTCATGCGAGTCGCCTCGACCTGCATCAGATCGTACCTCTGCGGCGTGGTTCTACCTGCATGTCCCTGTTCTCGCCCGTGGACCGAATTTTTGCCATTCACTATCAACACGATGTCAATGGACACCGTGGTAAGCTCCATCTGCGCCGCTCGCCCACTCACGTCCTCCTCTTTGATACTCGCGCGCGGAGCGTTGCGACGGACTGGATGTGGGAAATCTGGCGCGAACTTGGCGGACTGATCCCCGAGAGCCTAGACGTCCACATACCTGCTTTGGATGGCAAAGTGCGCATACCTGTCCCGGATGAGGTTCCATGTCATTCGGCAAGCAGCGTTCAGGCCCTTGAGCTGCCAGGCAACGGGCAGTTGGTCATGCATAGCCCTGGCTCGGTGCGAAGTGCTGGAGAGGGGTTCAAGCTGATCAGCCGCAACAACCTGGTCCGAACCACTCTTGGTCTTGTGCTCAAGCAGTCGGACTGGAAAGACCTTGTCGAAGTTGTCTTCAATATGGGTCTGCAATTCGAGCTTGCCTGGCGTCACGGCACAACTCTTGATTGGATCACAGAATCCACAACTGTGCAAGGAGATGCGCGCGATTGGGCAGTCTTGTCAGGCTCAGTACTGAGACAGGTAAGCTAGACTAAGCGTCACGACTTACTCCGAAGACTGGCTTACCTGACACACCTTTCCGTATTCGCTCCCCTCAGGCGTCCCAGATCCCTGCCTTGGAGCTGCGTGCAGGGATGCACTACCCGACTAACACTACCACGGCAGATGGACGCCATATCGAAGAGCCGCCTGCAGTCGAAGGCTACCTCTGGCGCGTTAAGCCGGTGTCTGGCGCTTTGACGCGGATCTACGTCACCACCCATGACGGACACATCTTCGTCTGCCGCCCCTCACGCGCCTTTCCTCCTGATCGCCACCTCGCCACTGGACCGCAGAAGGTGCTGGAGGCGACTGCGTTCCAGCGGCGGCCGTTGCCGCGACGAAGTCAAGATTCGAGAGGAGCACAGCAGCGCACAAGGAAACGAGACAAGCCTCGACGGGCTCTCGACAAGGTGCTAGGTCGAGACAAACGCCTCACCAGGGATGAAAGCATGGACGAACTTCGAGAACAAGTGATGAGCACTGCTGCCATTGCGGCAGCTGGCGAGGATGCTGTCACTGCGCAGCGCTTGGCGTACCAAGCCTTCGAACGCCGTCGCCAATTCGAACAGATCAGCAAAGCCGATGGCTACGTCGACCTCCGAGATATGCGCGTCATCAGATGCGTCGGCACTGGTCACCAGCGCCGGCCAAGTACCGATTTGTGCGCAGATCCGCATGAGCTGCCAAAAGAAGGAGCCGAGGCTGTCAAGCTCGCAGCCCGCGAGCAAGATCCAACACTCACGGAGCGTCATGATCCAGATGTGGTCGAGGAAGAAGCTCCTGCACTTTCGCCAGTACAGACCGATGTTGGCGGCGAGGAAGGTCTAGCGGCTGCTGCGGATCGCAACGCATTGCGCCGGTCCCGACAGTTCGAGGTCGTCATGGCCAACGGTCGTACCACGCGCTTCGAAGCATACAGCGCATCCATCGCCAAAGAATGGGTCGAGCGGCTGGCCTGTCTGGCACAGTACTGGAAACGTCGTGAAAAGGCGGATGCCATTGAGCTGATGCATGTCAGCGGATACAATCCCTCGATGATGAGGAAAAGGCGCGGTCGGCATCACGATGAAGACGCTGCGGCTGGTGAGGCCGTGCTCGGGCAAGAAGCGGACTCTGATCACGTCTCGCCGTTGTTGGGAACCATTTGGAATTGGTGCATGCTAGAAGGGTGTCGCGGCATCATTAGAGCCGGACGCTTGTTTCACAAACGCAAAGCGTACACGTCGTTTAGCAGCAGATACTACATCCTCATTGCTGGCAGACTGTTGAGCTACAAGATCGTCACTTCGCATCGTACAGCAAGAGACCGACAGAACGCAGGCATCTTCCACAAGCGACAAGAGACCGTTGTCCATTTGCGCGATGCGTACGTCTATAGTGGAAAATTGACGGAAGAAATGCTGACCAATGGTCGCACCGAGGGAGCTGGAGCGGTAAGCGGTGGCAATACCGCGAATGTCGGCGAACGGCATCGCCTGCCTCGCGTATATCGCGATGGATTGTTGACTGTAGACGAGGACGAGGATTGCACAATGGTTGTGCGATACAGGCCTCAGCGCTTGCAGCACGTTGCTGATCCTCACAGCCACGTCCAGCCCCGAGATGGGGCCGCAGTCAATATTGCTGGAATGGGAACCAGCATGACGACCAATTCGGCCACTGTGGACCACGCAACGCAGCCAGCAGTCGCCACCGCGGTGCCAATGCTGGGCGATGCGTCTCACAATCACCTGGTCCTCCGAGCCAGATGCAAGCTCGAGCGTGATCTATGGGTGCACGCCATTTCTTGTGAGATTGAGCGCCTTGTGCGACAGGACAAGGAACGAGAGGATCGCCTGCGTCTGGCTGGTAAGACGCCATACAAGCCCAACCGGTAGAACGCGACTACGCTACACGCTTCATTTGTCCTGCCTGCACAGCTGCCCACCTCCACCTCAACAAAGCACATCACTAACTCACGACTACCATTCAAATGATCAACTCGTCACATTTTACTTCAATGTATACCCGCTGCCCAGATTTTGATGTCACTCTTGCCGTATTTGAAAGCCGAAGCAACCCGTCGAATCAGGTCTCCTTTATGCGTCTGTCATTCTTGCGTGATCATCGCATCCACTTTCCTCTCGGCATACAAAGAGAGCGTGGCGCTCACCATAACCTTCTGTGCCGTGCGCTCGGCCCCGAATCGAGCGAGAAAGGACTGGCTTTCATGCGAGACGTGCGAGACGAGCTTAGCGCATGTCGATCAACGCCACCTTGTTCGGCCCCGATTGACGGGGGGCACCATGTGGGCGATAAGGGCGTCCCTACGTGACTGCGAGTCACGAACGAACGAGTCATTCAAGATTGCTCTTAAAGCTGTGCACGTGCAGAGTTGGAGCTTAGAGCTATTCTTAGATCGAAGCGGATCCAAAAGTGAGGCTAGCAGTGGCCGAGTGGAGCGTCTCGATGCAGTCAGGGAGTCAGTCAGTCGAGCATGTACTGTATGTCCTTCGTTTGGCTTTTGAGCGGGTGATTTGATTGAGCACATGCGCGACTTTTTCAGACTATGTACAGTACACGCTAGCGGTGCCGTAGCGTTGCTGCACGCATCTTGCGGGCACGAAGGCGATGCTCACACTCGACTGCATCACGGGTCTCGTGTGTACGGTAGGTACCGTAGCCGAGCTGGAATCTGAATCGTTCCTTACCTTTCCTGCTTGGCGTTCACATTGCTTGCTCTTTGCATGGAGCGATAGGCAACTTCAATGCTTTCACGAGGCGCTCATCCGCTCATTCCGACATGGTGTATGGCATGCGCTCGATTCACGAAGCGAGGATCAAGAATGGGAGTCTCGACTATTCTGCAAAGCGCACGTGTCCGTGGCGCCTGGAACCTGCCTGCCTGCGAGCAAAAGGCAAGCTCATCTCCGTAGCGGTCAGGATCAATAGCGGCGGGGCGTCACTCGACTCGACTTTGATCAAATCCAAAGACGCCTCAGGCTCGCCGATTGAATCGGACGAAGCCACTTGATCGGGAGGCCAGCAGAAATGGAGCCTCTTCTCTCGGCGTTAGCGGCGTATAGTTAGCAATCCGCTCGCAGACGGATCTGCTTCCGGATCTTCATATGGGCGACTGATTGGACGGGTGCGTGCGTTCGCTCTACAGCTGAGAGACCTCGCACATTCGACGAGTAGATATGCTTGCGACTTGGAACCCCCTCGCAGACCCAATGCCTCTTCTATTCGTGATTCGCGATTCTGTATCTGAGCATTTCACACCGCACCACACCCGGACGCCTTGGGATTGAGACGCACACGCAGTCACAGTGTGGATCAAAAGAGTATTAGCGCGCCTCTGCTGTTACCGGTGGGTACAGTGGTGAGTATAATTAGCAGAGCCCGCCGCCGCGTCATCAATCACAGATCAGGCACGCGCGGAGTCACGAGTCTTGAAGCTCTCCACCGCCAGACCAGACCCTTGGATGCCCCAATAAAACCGCTTGCGGGTCATGCTACAGTCGTGAGTAGCTGCGAGCCATTCGCGCAGCTCATCCGCGGCTGCGAGAGGAGAAGGAACGAACGTGCATGCAGCACCACCAACCCCTGCACAGCACATCCCAGCATGAGAGGCGCGTTCCTCGCCGGAAGCAAAAAGAAGGCTAAGCGTTACTTCGCAATTCAAAGCATTTGGATTATCAATCGCGCGGTCGTTGGCAAAGGGCCACCCACCGGAACAGTCAAGAGTCGCGAGTGCGAGTGTTGCAACAGACTGGGCAATGCTGAGCTGCTAGCTATATAGCTGATCCTGCTTCCTGCTTCCTACTGGCCTACCGTGATTACAATCACATGCTTAAATTGACCTTGGATGCGCGCAATCCGCTCCAAAAGGCATGCCCAGCGCGCCATCTCGAGCTCTCGGTGTCCTGAAAAGATTGCGACGCCGACGGGATTTTGATTTGAAACAATGACGAATTGATCAGACAGTCTAGGGAGCGATGGGTTCCTTGTACCCATTGCATCTGTTCGTGACTTTTCGTCTGTGCTGTGATGCAGGTATGTAGTTGGCATACTGGGGGGCTACAACGTCAAACCCTTCGTTGTCCATCAAGAATGTCAATAATGATGCTGACAGTCATTCATGATTAGACTCTAGCAGTCACGGGTCACGAATGTGAATGTGAGGGCAATGGTGACCCTTGCAAGCAGAAGGACGCGATTGATGAAGAGTGGAGGCGGGAGACCTTTTTCTTTTGACTGGTGTCACGCACGCACGAATTCGGTCAGACCATTTATCCGAACAGCGGGCCGGCTCGGCGGTCGCGTCTACCTATACACACGGCAAAACTGCATGCAACCGTTTACTTCACGACCCTGTTCGCGGTGGGCCCAGCAGGCTTGCTATGCAATTAAGCTTTCTGCCTGGGTCAAGCCTTCAGTGCCTGCGAACCGCGTCGCGAGTTGCTTGCTTGGGACGAATGACCTGCTTGCTATATACAAGCGTGGCAATCGAGCAAAGTCATGGAGTGCAGGTGTAAATGCTCGATCCCTAAACAGCGAGTCACGGCCGGCTTGCTGGAGCGAATCAGAATCAATGCTCAGACTTGAAACGAGGTGTACCGCTATACCCGTAATCAATTCAATTCAGGATTGTGTACGTGCCGTGCTGTCTGGAAGCGGCTGGGATCGAGGCAGCAACTATCAGCCGTGTGAGTCATGGGTCTGCTGAGTGCATGCGGCCTCAGGGTTATGGGCAGCATTAATTAGTAGTCGATCAGTCGTCAGCAGTCACGCAGTCACCAGTGGTCTGATTTTGGGCAAGTCTCACTATGCATAGCAGCGTCAGCAAGCAAGGCCGCAGTCTGCATGGCCACGGTAGCTGCAGCATGCCTCCCGCCCCCGTCCCAGACAATCTGACCGTGTCGCACCAAAATATGCGACGCAGGCGAGTCAAGACTGGCGTACGTACATAATGTGCTCGTCACGCTTCTGGTGCAGAGATGCTGTTCACACTCCTTTCGTGCCAAGGCTGCACTGCACCTCTTGCACTCCGCTGCCGCTGCTGTACAGTTGTACGGTACCTGTAGTCTCAGTGCCTAGCCTGGCTCCCCCGGCCGCCGCTGTCGAGCGCACAAATCACAGCAGTCACACACTCAGTCATCGTCTGCCCATCCCCCAAGAGCGCCATCCTCGACCACCGATGATATCAGCGACACAGCGAACCATGGACAGCGACGCACGCTCACACTAGAGCGCCTTCATGTTCTTGCTACGCACCTGCGTGTGACCACCATCCACGTCGGTCATTGGGCTCGACCATCCCTCCAGCTCCTCAGACCAACCTCAGCAAGTCGGACCAGCTTACCTGCAGGGATCCGAGCTGATCAGCGGAATTGCGGAGGGGAAAGTGCGCATCTGCTACTTGCCAAGAAAAGGTCTGCTGGCAAGCCACTTCTCCCCGGCCCTTTTGACACGAACGATCTCGTCATCTCGCTGTCCCACCGGAACACCCTGCCAAAGACCTCTGAGCGTTGTCTATTCCGCTCGAGCACTCGGATTCTCGTCGATTTTGCTCGTCACGCAGTCATCGTACACCACAACGACGACCAGCTTCTCTGACCGGACCCCGCTTCACAGCAGTCACCGACGCGCGGCTGAGATACTACCCCCCTCTTCAGGATCCTCTGTCGACTAGTCGGGGCGCAAAGCATCCTTCGCCCTTTCCAGCGAGCTATTTTCTCGCAATGGCCACCAACGGCAGCTTGGGGTTCAGCACTGAGGTGGCTCGGCAGTCTTCTCATCTGAAATGGTCATCAGACGAGCGAGCCAGCTCACATCGAGACTGTGCTCATCGTAGCTGCCCTGGAAGCTCTAGCAGTGCGCATACACTCGATGCCCCGGTGCGACACGAGTCAAGCCTGCAGCTTCGCGTTCGAAGGAAGCGCAGTAGACCGTCGTCGTCATCGCAGTGGGCGCTCCGGGCGCCTCGTTGCTGCGCGTCGGCAGCTACTGCGGCAGTAGTCATGATGACGCTGTCAATCTTTTCGACATTTCGAGGGGCAGAAGCTGCATCGGACGATGGTACACTGCTGCAACCTCGATTTGTGCCTGGCGCTGGCGAGCTTCCGCTCGGTGTCGAGCGATTACGCCCCGACGCGCTGTCCCAGCTCAATCCGTACCGACCACCACCGCATTTGCGGTCCGTATACGAGCGTCAGCCTGCGCTCAGGTCAAGCGATGAACGAGATTGGGTACGAGGATGGACTGAAGCTGATGCGGCGCAAGGTCGAGGGCTTGCGGAGAGGGACGCGTCCGACGTGACGCCGTCTGGCTCTGCGGACAATCTGGTCGACGTCGGCATCACTCAGCCTCAGTCTTGCGCGCCTTTGAACATCACTTTTGATCCTTCCAAAGGCAAGCCTCCATATACGGTGCACATTGCCTTTTCCGAGTGGTATCCATACATCTTTTCGGGTGAGTGAACAGCAAAAGTGGTGCCCTTGCAGAGCCAAGGCCGCGTGCGTTGACCACAGTGACCTCCGCTCGCCCGCAGTGCCAGCTTCTTACTCAGACCCCACGCTCGGTCTCTGGCTGGTACAATTCATGGTGCCGATGTTTCAGCAGGCTGGTGTGCAAGGCCCCACCAATCCTAACATGATCGTCAGTGTCTCTGATTCGACGGGAGCAATGACCAACTCCAGCGTCATCGCACAAGTGAACTCCCCATCGGCCGGCGTGACTTGTGCAGGCATTTCGGGAAGTTTGGACTTCATCTTTTGGAGTGATCCGTCCCAGACGCAGGTGCGTGTTGATATTCATGTTTGCGTACGCCGAGGTCTCAGATGCAGTTGAAGTCACGCCGTTGCTGACCTTGGCCTTGCTTCGCAGTGTCTGCCCTTCTCAATCACATGGGCGCGTGAGGGTACACAAAAAGGGTGGACTCCTCCACTGGGGCTTTTCTTCTTGCCGGAGCAGACTCCGCCCTTGTATCTGCCTATCGCCAACGCAACTGCAGGAGGGCTCAATTGGACCATGATCATTCCAGCAGGCAAACGCTTCCTCATGACAATGTCGGACGCTGGACCGCTGGGAGGTGGAGTTTCCGGACTCAATACCGTGGGAGGATCGGAGTATGCAAATCAGAACTGTATAGACAACGCGACGGAGCAGCACAGCTTGCCTAGACCCACGACGACTGTCACGGGTAGCATGCCAGACTTCACTGCCTCTGTCGCCTCTCTCACGACGGAGAATGGCATCGTCGTCACGCAGACGGTGGTGCAGACGGTGCGAAATGGCAAGGCTTTGAAGGGCGACGATCCAACTTCGGCCGTGATCGGTGCGTCTGTGGGTGCAGGTCTAGCTGTAGGTATCGCTGCAGCGTTCATCGCATGGTTTTGCTGGAGGAGAAGGCAAAAGAAACGCACAAACTTGTCTTGGGATCTTCCGGATAATGTCGCAGGTCAACTGAATCAGACCAACGCTCCGATGGACAAGAAGTTGCTGCAGCGCAAAGGAGCAGGCGCCACCATCTTTGCTTCGGCCGGACGTCTCAACAATCTGTATCCGACGGGCAACGCGCCTGACCGCAGCAGCCATGCTAATAGCATCCGCGGGAGCTTCAGGTCGCTTGCCAGTAGTGCCTATGATCAGAGGTACGAGAGCGGTGATGCCACTTCTCCGCAAACTTCGGAAGCGCCTGCATATCACACTACCTACGCCTCGTCTCCACCTAGCGGTCCTCAGCGGCCATACTCTGACTTTTCACCCACGCACTCTGACGGCAATTGGCCCTTGAGCCGACCTGCAGCTGCGGTGGCTGGTGCCGCGGACGGACAGGAGGTGCTCATCGGAGAAGATTCGCCGCCCTCGGCGACACCCTCCTCGAGGGGCTTCCAAGGCTCGAGGAGGGAAAGCGCCTCTTCCGGGTCCGTACGACAATCGGGCACTGCGTATCGCTCGCCCTTTTCGCCCACTGCCACCTATCCCCACGACGCGGCTTCGCATGGTGCTGGCTACGAGGAGGTACCCATGAGTGAGCCCATGTATCACAGCTCCAGCATGTCGTATCATGGTCACTCTAGCGGTTCTTCGTACGCCATGACGCGCCAGGCAAGCGCTGGATCTTCAGGCAACTCGCCCATCACCTCTATGGCGGCGCCTAGTCAGACACGGCCCGCAGCTGCAGGAAGCAGCACGTTGCCGTCCGTCCCACAAGGCTTCGTTCAGCATTCGGACGCTGGTCTATTGTTGGACGATACGATGGACGAGGAGGAAAATCAGAGGAGAGGAAACGGAATGATTGAGCTTCCACCTCAGTACGATGCCGTGCCGCCTCGCGCGCCGCAGCACGGGCGATCCAGCACTTCTGGCTCGAACCCGCCATCTGGACCCTCTTCGGGTTCAGGCACGTACCAGAGCACCTCTTCGAGAGGCGGTGCAAGAGGAAGCGGCAGCGGCACCAATGGCTCGCAGCAGCAGCTACTTGGACGATCGCCGCTCAGCCAACGTTTACCCGAAGGAGATATTTCCACAGCGAACCAGCCCTTTGCGGCGGACTTGCTTGATGAAGGCGTCGACGAGGATGAATTTTGGAGAGCGTCATGAGCGCTTGTTAGACTTTCCGTTGCATCGATACCCCCTCTCTTTCTAGGATTGTCGCTTCCTCTTTGTTTTACAGCTCTCCGAACGATGTGAGCCTCTCTTCAACATTCGACATTACCACCCGGCACCTCGCCTATTCCTCAAAGCCAAAGCATCCGCTCATTAACTCATGCCTTTTGATTCCCGTTCTGTATTCTCGCGCAATTATTCTGTCCTCGTGTCTTGCTCTTGACCTGCCCGACTTTCTTTTGCTGGTTTCGTCAATGCACGTCTTTGCTATTTTTCGCACTATCCGCATGAATGTGCTCGTGCTGCGACTGGCTGCGTTGGAAACGTGAGAATAGGGTAGACGGACGTTGCAATGGCTGCTGCGGCTACGCTCACGGTTCTGACAGCCATGCGCATTTGCAAGGCAAGGTGATTTTGTGGATGCACCGCAGCCTCTGCCAAGTTGAGTGATCATATGTCTGTCGAGCTAAATTTGCTGGCTGTCATACGAAGCGTGTCTCACTTGCCTCTTGCACTTCACGAGCAACATCAGTCGGGAGTGAAGATGCCCATGTATGTGGGTTTGCGAAGATTTTGTGCCAGCAGCTATACGGCCATACACCTCACTTTTGCCAGACTTGGGCTCGCGACGGCCGACGGCGCGTATCGCGTACAATCACAATTCGCAGGATGTCGCGCTGATCCGGCGACGTGCTGTTATCCAATCACGAATGTGACCACGTATTGATCGCAAAGACTCACTCACCGCGAGTACGACTATTTCCACAACAAACCTCGCGCAGTCTGCACAACAAACTTGCAGTTAGACTGCGAGTATGGAAACCAGCAGTACAACTGCTAGTTTAACTGTGCAGTCTACCACCATCACTGCATACCACTCATATATATACTTTTTTGAATGCTATGAATCTCAGCAAATCAAATTTAGATACAGAACCTTCAGCCAGGAGTGCTGTGTGTACTTTGGGCACAAATGCATTCACTTGGCATGTCAAAAAAGGGTACAATGAGCACCTGCCGCAGCTGGAATGGCTTTCAAAGAAGCGCGCACATATTCCAGGCATCAGAGGAGGGCCAAAGACCACGGATGCTCAAGAACATTGCTTGAGGTGCATCTCCAATGCACGACTCTCCTCAAACTAGAACACATTGCGTGCGTGAGCTGCAGACAACGCGTCCCAAACTTGCAGTTAGACTGCAAGTTTGTTGTGCAGACTGCGCGAGGTTTGTTGTGGAAATAGTCGCACTCACTCACCGCTCGCATGCAGCTCGCTGCGGCCGATGCTTTCCATCACTCCAACGTCGGCCTTGCACTTTGGCTGCAAGCCTTCATCCACGGATCTTTGCTCTGACAGTAATAGCCAAAGATTTCATGCATTGAGGAGTTTTGTATTTGACGCCAATCATTGTGGGAAGCGAAACAGCCGTAGTTGAGCGCAAGGAAGAAGGATGGGAAAGGGCGAAGAAAGATGAGCGTCGGTGCAGTCAAGATACGAGGGGGCCGGATGCAGATCTTATTTGGGCAGGAGACGACCAACACTTTGTGCGGCTCTCGGTTCACTCTGGCGTCTATAATGGAGCACGTCTTCAGGGGCCAAGCAATGTTGCTTTCGCAGGAGTATGCAACCTGGACGCGCACTCATTCGATCCAACTTCGGTTCACAAACATCGTTCTCGCTGCTGCGGGTCAAGGCCAGCCCAGGGAATTTTCTCGCATGTGAGGTGTATTCTGCGAAAGCCCTTGCCTGGTTTGCACTCTCGAGGCGCAGGTCTTCCAGACTCTTCTGTCGATTCTATGACAGGTTTCGAAATCGAAGGCTTGGTACCACGTAGCAGAGTGCTGCCCCATTTGGTAACATCTCGATCGACATTCAGGATTGTTTGGCGCGTCAAGTGACAATGGTGCATCATCAGGTGTGATTCTATGATCACGACTGTCTGAACAGGTACTGGTCCAGCGAGAAGGCAGCAGCGCGAGTGATGGTCAAGTGCAGTGCACGACGAGACGACATGCCGTGAGCGTGCGGACGACGAACCCCACGAATTGCATGTTCCGATTGTGGGGCCTATAGTCATGACTTGCTCGCTCCGACTTGGTTCCACTCACTTGCTTGTGAAGCAGCTAGAGGAAAGACGCATCAGTATAGTGATGTGAGCGTGATCTCAAATGGACGAATCAATCTTTGAATGTGATGGATCATGTGATTAGTGAATTGATTGCTTGGAGGATTCCACCGTTGCGCAGTCAACATGTAAACAAATGAGAACTCTCGCGGCGTAGACAGGCTCATAATTGAATCAAGATCCGGAGTCGTGAGCCTCATACAAAACAAGGCGCAACCAAAGTGCGTCTCACAACGTTCAGAAGGCTGCATACATATATGATGAGAAACTATAAAGGCAAATACGGTTGAGTCAGAGGTTGGCTGATTTCGAGTGCGTTTCAGTCAAGTGTCTTGCGTGACGGTATATATATTTATATAGCTTCTGGCTGCTCATGAGCGCCCATTCGTGACTCAGACTTGATGGATCAGCCAGCGTGTGACTGACAGCAACGGGCAAGTCGGCATTGGATGCGAGCGAGCGCCGCCAATAAAGAATTGCAGCAGTCTTCAAATGTGACCCAATTGTGAAACAAGTTTTTGAGTGTCAATCCTGTCTTCCCTTACGAACCGCAGAAATCCTATAGTCTAGTGTCAAGTGAAAGATATACCTTGGCCTATAATCTGCTTTGGTAATGGTCAAATCCAATCAATCAGCAACGTGCTCCATCGAAGTCGGAGGCTGTTCGCCTTGCTCAAAGCCTGACAAGAAGTCGCTGGTGATGAGGGCGCGAGCCGAATTTGCTTCACCCCAGCCTCTCACCCAAGACCGTCCGTCACTCAAGACTCGTGAGTGCATTCTCTTCATTGTGGCAACGTCGACTGTTACTCCATTCACATACAGCGAGTCACGTCCGTGATCACCGTGGTTTTGCAGCATTGGCCTAGGTTCGTTACCTCGCAGCTTACCTGCGAAGCCCCTTTCAAGCATCAGTCGAGTAGCTATGCGCTCTGGCCTATCGGAAGCAGCGCAAAGAAGCAGCAATGCATCGCGCAGGCTGGCCCTCCACGCGGATTGTCCCGTGTCTTCCCCTCCCATCAAATTTCCATCTGATTCGTCGCAGAGTCAGACGAGGGGCGAGAAGGCACCAGAGAGGGCTTCAAGCTACAAGGAAGAGCTCGAATCTGACTTGGGCACCCTTCACCTGGGCTTCCAGCTATGCTTGGCGAGGCTCTCAGTCGTGGTGCTGTCCAGCGCCCACATAGGGTCAGTCGCATTTGCGGATCAAGTATTATTCGACGAAGACCTGAGCCATTACAGGTGAGATCTGAGCACTTGTCCATCTTTACTGTGTTCTGATGCTTGTTGAAAACCTTTGCCATGCTCAAAGAACGAAAGACGGATGCTACGTCTGGAGACCCTCGGAACATCAAGCGGACCATCCCGGTCCGACAACAGCAGCGGCACAAGGAGTGACGAGCGTGACACCGGTCGCCATGATCGTCGACGCTCTAGACATTCTACTAGATCGTCTGGCAAACAAAATCTCTATGGACCACGTACAGTCCATTGGTGTCTGTGCTGAGGTGAGGTGATGCGGGCCAGCGCGCGTCGCAATTCCGTAGTCATCTACTCATGTCTGACCTTTTGGAGGTACGTCCCCAGAGCGATTGGCCAGTCTATCTGAGTGGAAGAGCGGAGAAGGTGCTCCACGATCTGCGTCCAACAGTCGGTCTGCATGTCCAATTGACCGTGCCAGACTTCTTCAGCGCGCCATTCATATCCAACATCAATGATTCGTCGACGCTGGACGAGATGCGAATGATAGAGGCGGCTTTGGAGGCGAAGATGAAGGGGGCCATGATGAACGGCTCAACCCTTATCAGTGCTCCGTCGGCCATGCCCTCTTCCGAATTCGGTGTCCACAGCAACTTGTTTGGCACAGAGGTGGCAAAGGCCATGAATCGCAAGAGGTGCCAAGCAATTCGTCAAGCAGCCGCACAGAAGAATGGAGCAGCACCAAGCTTCTCAGGATGGGCTTGTCAGCTTGCCAAGTTGAGGAACGGAAAGGGAGTCGGAATGGAAGGTAGATCCGCTGCCATTTTGGACATCAAGAAAGTCTGGAGCAACACCGGACGCATGATCACTGCAGGCTCGCTGATCTGTGCTGTTCTGACAAACAAGATGCCTAGGTGAGCGCGACTATTCCCTCAAACTTTGCGCAATTGTCACTTACCGCCATCAATTCCAGCTTCAACCACACCGAGGCGGCTATGACGGGACTTTATGACCCAGAAGCTCGCGAGTGGGATCAGCAAATGCTGGACATTTGTAGCAGCGGTGAAGGACAAGTGTTGAGACAGAAGTTGGGAGACATTGCACACCTCGACGCATGCGCCACGCCGGCGGGTAGTTGGCTGTGCCAAAAGTACGGCGTTCAGCAGTGTGAGCATCTTCTCGCGTACAGTCTTGACAGTGCGCTGGTCTGACTTTGCAACCTGCCCCGTCTCAGCTTGCGTTATTGGTCCTTCGCTGCCATCCTCGGTCGTGGCATACATGGGAATGCTTCCGGGTCCGAGGTTGGTTGCTGTGAAGTGCTTGATTTTCCATCAAACAGCGCCATACTCATTGTCATCCATTTGGATTCATTCGCTTTTATCCAACAGGGACGGAGGTATTTCTCTTTCTGTCCATGACACCATGATCATCCCTTTGCGCTCCAAGGTCAAGGCTCCTGGTCACTCTTTGCTTCCAAATCCTCTTCACGAGCTTTCGAGCCAGTCGACAGATGTTGTCGACACTCGTGCTCAGCCATGGCTGGCCTTATCCCGATGGCAAGACGCTGGGCTGGCCCGCAAAATTGTCAAGGACGTATACTGCTCCGGTCTATGGTCAGCGTTTGGCAAGCTTGTCAATGCTGTTGGCGTGGGTGGCTCGCACGCCCTCGACAACAAGGTGAGACCTGACGATGTGCCTTGAAGCCAAGGTGATTCGTCGATCTGACCAGTACGCATATTCTGGTTGCTCGGCTCAGCTCTTCACGGTTAGTGGCGGTCAAGTAAGCGCGCTCAACCTTGACTTACAGCGCCGAAAAATCGTCTGCTAGATTGTTGTGCTGGAAGGCGAGACGCGAGGTGAGTCCGACACGGCTACGTCATGGCCTGTTTTCGAAGGATCCTCACGTCTAACGATCCGGCGGAGCAGGCATCCGACGGTACGAGCACGGCATGCGCGTCATGGAGTTTGGCAACGATTTGCGAGGTGCGCCAAGTCGCATGCCTATCTGTAGACGGTGCCTCATCTTCACTCCTCTTCTTCGTAGCGAACGCGCGATGTATGATCGAAGGTCAAGCATTGGCCATGAGAAGTGCTGCATCGCGTATCGTTTTTGCCGACCTCGAACAAATTCAAGACGTTGACAAGTCGGCGCATGAGAGTCGGCAAGCGCGCCTTCGCGACCGGGCTACAAGTCAAAACTTCAAAGGTGTTGGAGGTGTGTTGGGCTACAATCCTCTTCATGGTGAGCCGTTGCCATCGAAATGGCTGGCTTGGGGCAAGCCGTCCGGCAACGCTTGCTTTGCTGGTGTCTTTAC